ACAATATTGCCAAAAATTGTGTCCCCAACTAAGCAAGCCAAAGGCGACAGTGGCAAGGAACCAAAACTCCATCGGTGACAGAAATGGAGAAAAAAAAAAGCCTTGGGAGAAACCAGGCTCAGTCGGGTGGCCAGTTCTCCTCTGGCCAGACGAAACCAGCATGGTGTGGTTTAATTCCAGGCTGCAATGCAAGTCAGATTGGTTCTCGTGGTCTTGTCTTGTATATCAGCTGAAATGGATTTTAATACCAGATGTTAATGGCATAAGTGGTGGATAATATAAATATGCAAACAGTCTCTTAATTTCACAATGTTATCTTGTTGTAGTGTTTCCGAGAACCAGTCTCTGCTTCGCATGCCCCCCTGGGAGAACGTGTGGCTGCTAGGAGCCATCTGCCTCTCCATGTCCCTCCACTTCCTTATCCTTTATGTGGAACCCCTGCCGGTAAGATCAATTTGAATCAATAAGATGATCAGTTTGTGTATTTGTTCTTTTTCTTTTTTTTTTTTTGCAGTCTTTGTAGAATTGAGTCTTTTTAATTCCAATTTTTTATCTTTTTAACAGTTAGTAAATGTATGTCTTCATATTGTTTTGCAATGACACTGTTCTTAGTTTAGTCAATTGTCCATTTATTATTTACTCTGTATAGTAGTTAAGTTACTCTACACTGCATTTTCTCTACAGATGATCTTCCAGATCACCCCACTGAACGTGACCCAGTGGCTTATGGTGTTGAAGATTTCCCTGCCAGTCATCTTGCTGGATGAAGTGCTCAAGTTTGTGGCCAGAAACTACCTGGACAAGCCCAAAGACCTGGACGGTCCCAAGAGCATGGCCTGCTCTCTCAGCGCCTGCATGGAGGGCATTTCCTGGCCCTTCGTGGCTCTCTCACTCCCCCTGGTGCTGTGGATCTACAGCACTGACACTAACTTGGCCGAAATGTTCTGGTCTTGACTGAAATGAGCACTGATGTGTGTAGCTAGTGTGCACGTGTGTCTGTATGTATGGTTGTGCGTTTAAAGTGTGCCTCCGCTACAGAGAATGTGTACGAGAAGGACAGGATTAACACGAAAATAACCGTGATATAGAAATATAACCTTTTTTAGCTGTCTGTTGGGGATTGAGGAGACCATACAGACCTGAAGTCTTCAAGTATTAGTGACCATTAATAATCTTTTTGGACTTCTTGTTGGTTTCTTTTTGTTATTGCATTTTTAATTAATCATGTGTGTCATGTCTCATTTCAAACTAGTATCAATTATGATAATATCCAATTTGTTTTGGCCCCTAATCATGTTCAAATGGCTAAATGGAAAAAGTGCTTGTGTACCGACATTTAACACTATTTTATGCAATTGTTCATTTGTTATTATTTGTTCAGTTTGCTAACAGAGAGCAGAGTGGGTAGGGTAGAAAAAAGAGAGAGAACAAGACAGAACTGTTTACTAATGTTTACCTTTGTGTCTTCGGTGTGAACATCACTCAGAGCCAATAGACAAGCATGGTGTTTCAAAGCAGCATGAGAAAGAGAGTGCGGGACTGAATGTTTGAATGCTTCACGGTCAAATCCTCAGATGAAAGCTGCATGTTCTGTATTTTGCATGCATTTTGTGTGGTTTTTCACTTATGATTTGTACCTGTATGTCTTTCCCTGTGTGTAATAACTTCCATTTGTATGGGTATACATTGTGTTTCCATTATTACCTGACACTTTTGATTAGCAAAGCCAGTTTTTCTGCACTAGGCAGAGTACAGCTACCTCAGGACTGTCAGATTAGACTCTCTCTGGTTGCTTCCTCCCACTTAGCTTTACACCGCTTATACACATTAATGCATGAGGGGTGCCTCTATTTGATGATAAACAGAACCCAGATTCCTTTTGGCCCTAACAAATCTGTTTTAAGTTCTTTTTTTGTTTTCACTGTATTTTTTAATTAAATGAAGTTGCATTAACTTAATTACAGGGTTTTTGTTTTTGGGGAGGGGTGGGTTGGATAAAAGCTGTAGATGTTACCGTTTAGTGGGTTAAGGTCAGAGACAAAGGAGTAGAAAATTTTACCAGCTAAGGTTTAGGTGTTGCATTCAAAACATGAATTTTACAATGCAAAACCAAAATGTTTCATGCTATCATTTTTTTCTACTTAATACACTCATGAACCATTTGAATTAAAATGCGTGTCTTCATTTTACAAGCTGGTCTGTTCCTGTAATGCAGCACGGCAAGTTTTAGGAGCAAATATACTTGAATAAATGAAATTAATGTACAGAGATTTAGTTACATAGCTGAGCACAAGATTGACAGCTGGGAGGGGCTTCCTTGCGAGGCGGCTTCCTGTTTGGCCCTCACCAGCCAGTCTGGTAGTGGCCTGTATATTTGTACACATGCAGCACATATACAGAAATGGTACAAAGTAAATTTTTTTTTATTTTTTTAAATGGAGCTTTCTGGCATTTAGTTGTCCATTGCATCACACTAATTTTTGCTTGCTAAAATGGATGCATGTCCCTGACTATGCTCTTGGTGTGGAACTGTCAGTATTTTTTTCTAACAATCATAAACATTCCCTTTAAGTAAGTGTCACTGACATTGCCGTTACACATTTCTCCACTCCTTTTCACTGTGTTACAACAATGTCCCAAAGCCTCAAGTTTTTCTGACAATGGACCAACCCTGCTTACATGTAAATCTGCTGAATTCCCACTACGACTACTGTGGCTGTTTATAGCTGCATTAACACATGCCCATATCAGCTTGAATACATTACACTGTTATATTCCACTGCAATATATGCTGTTTTTAAGAAATATATAATATATTGTAAAGACTTGGTCAAATTACTTGCGTGATTGTTTTCTTTACCCCATATAATAATATATTGTAAAGACTTGGTCAAATTACTTGCGTGATTGTTTTCTTTACCCCATATAATTTCAATATTGTCTCTGAATGAAATTAATACACCATTAGTTTTTATTAGAATGGTCCGTACACTGTTCTGACTTGCTCAGGAACTGAACTTGGATGTTGGCATAAATGACTCGAATGAAAACACTATTGCCATTAGAAATATGTTGCATTCTTTTCTTTTTTTAGTAAATGTTGCCTTTTGTATTAACAATTAATCATACAATTATTTCCCCCGTTGTCATACTTGCTTATATGCAAAATATTTATTTAATAGTGCACTTTAGCGTTTGCGTTTCATTCTAAAACATTCAAAAATTCCTTTTTTTTCCATTTGTTTTTATTGGCAGTTATTGCTTCTGCCTCTGTTTGTGTTGGGAAACCTCAGGCTTCTGTGTTGTGCATGTCTGTTTTGAGTGGCTTCATTTTGCTGAATATCAGAACTTGCATGTTGAATGTGCAGTTCAGAAAATAGCCACCAGTGCACTGCCAGATCACATGTAAGAATGGACTCAATAATAAAAACTCAGTAATAATGAATAAATGACAGAGAAATAAGAGTAATAAGTGTATAAGGAAGCAAGCATCATCATCAGCATCATCTTCTACCCTGCATGACAATGTCTACATTGCCTAATGTTGATGCAAGGAGAGTTTGCTGCATTTTTTTTCTGTCAGTTGTCATAGTTTTATATACATGTATTATATAGTATAATGCATGACTTCAGTTGTAATTAGCCAAATAATTTGATCTATATTTATATAGCAACTTGCTGTGTACATTGCTGCTAAATGGTATATGATTCAACACATCATTTTACAAATAAACTCTTTAGTTAATTTACCAGTGCTGACGTTCATGTTTTGTGCCTCTCTATGTATATCTGTTAGGAAAAGCCATTTAATAAATTTAAATATACCTAAAATGAAGGAGTAGGATTTTCTTACTATTCAGTCTGTTACCTGAATCAGTGTCATTGGTCAGCAGAAAAAACAGACTCAAATGCGGCCAGTATGTGCTTCTTGTTCTTGGCTCAAAAATGCAAACAATGAAGCCATGAGTTCATTAAGTAAATTACCATTTAAACAATAAGTACATGTTTGTTGAAGGTATTTAAGCATAGAGATGTCCTGAGCGGTCCTTACGGCTGTAATGTCTAATATTGAACACTTGAAGGCGACAGAGACTAATTTTGGCGCTAAAACACGGTCCAATTACAATGACATCATCTTATTTCACGTATAAAAACAGCAGCATCTTTTATGTAACCAGTGACCAAAATCTGTTTAATTGACAATAGCATAAATGAATGTACATTTCAGTTCAGTGCCTTTAATTAGCTACATACAAAAGTAAAGACACGAAAGGTTTTATTTCTGCAAATTATGTTATTGCACATATTGTTAGATTATGTTATTTATCTATATCTAAAAAGAACTAAAAAAAAACATTAAATATATTTTGTGAATTATTAGTTCCACAATATTGTGTGTGTTCCTTAAACGCCACATTATGTTTCAACAAAAACAGGCTGCATTTCCCCTAACACATGTAGAAAAGTTTGATATTTAAACCACGCCACGCTTACTACAAGCTCCCTGACCTATGCGGTGAAGCAGCCTGTCGCTTTAAATCGAACCCATGCTGGGAGAGCTGTCAATCATGTCTCGTAATCCCGCCCCTTCCTGCAGCAGCAGCGTTTAGGTGCTTTTCATACAGAGGCATTACGTACAGCAGACTCGGCAAATCTGCACAGTCTAATTATCAGCGGCAAAATGGGATAATCGTGAGCGTCTTTAGAGAATTTCGTCCACGGGAACTAAACGACCAGTCGAGGAGAGTGATTTTTTTTCTTCCAGACACAGACGTAAGCACAAAGGGCTTTGGGGATAAAGGTGATAAAAAAGATATCACATTATGAACGCAGGACAACTGGAATACCTCGCCACAGTCACGGCCGGACCGTATGATTTGTTTATGGCGACCAGTTTAATTCGGAAAGCATTCTAAGGAGTACTTCGTTCATCCCGTGCGCTCTGGAGAACAGATGCTGTCATTGTGCTGGGGACCGAGATTTGTGCGCGTGATATTCTGCAAGTGGTCTCGTCGGAATGGTGCGCGAGATGAGACTGCGCGTGCCTTTATTGTTTCCGCGCGACATACTCAATAACGGTCGTTCAGTCGTTGTACAACTCGAGCCCAACGACGACAATTTTGGCACAGAAAGACTGAGACTTCTAGTGACAATTCCAGGGAAATCATGAACGAAGTGTTTTGTAAACGTTTGTATTAAGTGTTATTGAAGAAATATCCTTTATTATGAACGGGCACTGCCGACTTTTCATACTTTAATCAATTTTCTTTTCCTTCAGCTAAATTCCAATTAGTTGGAGATACTTGACCGTGTGTTTCTGACCAATTTGATATTTTCAGCCTGAGCAAACACAATGGTGGAGCCTGTGGGTTTCATCGAAGCCTGGAAAGCACAGTTTCCAGAGTCTGAGCCTCCGAAGATGGAGCTGAGGTCTGTTGGAGGAATCGAACAAGAATTGGAGAAGTGCAAAGCGTCCATAAGACGCTTGGAAATGGAGGTGAACAAAGAGCGCTTTCGGATGATCTACCTTCAGACGCTGCTGGCCAAGGAGCGAAAGAGCTACGACCGGCAGAGATGGGGTTTCAGGAAGCCACCTCACATGACCGAAGGGGACCCGCAAGCTGTTGGGGCCGATTCTCAGCATCTCCATGCACAGGAGCACGGACAGCCAGAGCGCAGCAGGTTTCAGCCTGTGGGGGAGACCAGAGTGAAACCACGACCACCCCCTGCCAGGAAGTCGGCCTCCCACGGTGATGGATTGGAGCTACAGTCGTCATTCGAGGCGCACCAGGCAGGGCCGGTCAGTGAGACCGACGGGCTCTCGCCATCAACACAGAGGGGTGGAGTTTCTCCTTGCAGGCCCCATCCACCCCTTGACAAGGAGTTGCCCTTGGATCCGTCACCCAAAGACAAGCCGGGCATGGGGCTCGGGGTGGCTGCCTTACGTTCGAACTTTGAGAGAATCAAACGGGCCAACTCACACTCAGCCAGTGATGGAAAATCAGGCCAAGAGAAACCATTTTACACCAATGTTGAGTTCCATCATGACAGGGGCCTGGTAAAAGTCAACGACCGTGAGGTCTCGGACAAAATTAGCTCTCTTGGGAACCAAGCCATGCAGATGGAGCGCAAAAGGTCACTTCATTCACTTCCAGGCAACCTTGCTACGGTCGCAGGTGATCTACGCCCCAGGCCTGTCTATAGGGGGCGCTCTACCGAAAGCACCTGCGGATACGATGTAGAGTATGAAGATGGCGAACCCAGTCCTCGCTACAGCACTGCGAGACCGAACGGTGCCAAACCACCACCTCCACCTTGGCAGCCATCAGATTTCCAGCCATACACTAGTGTTTACGTCGGAGGGATGATGTCAGGAGAAAGTGGTGACGGTAGGGTCACTATGAGAGACCATGGAGGAAGCGACGACCATCTTCTCACCTGGCCCAGGAGGTCATACTCGCCTGGAAGTTTCGAGGATGTGGGAGGCGGAGGAGGCGGATACACGCCAGACTGCAGCTCCAATGAGAACCTGACATCCAGTGAGGAAGACTTCTCCTCGGGACAGTCCAGTCACGTGTCGCCCAGCCCTACGACAGCCTACCGCCGCCCACTCCGAGAGAAGAGTCGCTCACCTTCTCAGAACTCCCAGAATTCTCAGCATTCGTTTGACAGCAGCAGTCCCCCTACACCGCAGACACAGAAACGACACAGGCAGCAACATGTCGTGGTGTCTGAGGCCACCATTGTGGGCGTAAGGAAAACAGGACAAATCTGGCCCCATGATGGAGACTCTATTGCCTCCAGTCGGGCTTCCCATGACAACAGTTACCATGGAGATCTAGGTAAGGCATGATTATGACTTCTACATGTTGTTGTTCTGTTTTGCATATGACAGGTGAAGCGGTTCCTAAAAAATATCAAATGTAGCAGAAAAATGAATGGTCTTAGGTTAGCAAAATTGGTCGCTACTGTAAGACTGTAAATGGGACATGACATCATTGTCAAGCTGATACACTAGGTAGCAATGTGTAGTGTGGCTGAATAATTGCAAATCAAAGCTTTTGGCCAGACACATTCTTCTTGCAGTGAAAATGAGTGGGCATTTTATGTTTTTCTTCTACTCTGCATGCTTGATCAGTCAACTTTTCTCTTTTATCTCCTTTTATGTTTGGTTGTTCTTCTGTTAAATCCGTCCTCTGTCAGATTCTGTGCTTCCCGTCCCAAGCTATTGTCCACTTTTGTTTCACGCTCTCTCTGTATCGGTCAGACACCGTGGCGACTGCTTGCTGCGGTTGGTTAGTCCGGTCTGATGAGACTCATATATAAAGAGTAATTAACTGGACAAGCTAATTTATGATCATGAGGTCAAGATGTGCGTGTCAGAGTTTGTTTCTTTATGCAGGAGAGAAGCTGAGGAGCTTTCACTCAAGTCACATGCTGCTGTGGGAATTTCCCAAGTAGGACAAAACACCCAGTTGATGAGTGAAAATTGTCATATGTAAATTAATATTTTCATTCCTTTTTATGGTACTGTATGTTAATACAGTGATTAATAGACTTTGAAGTTTGTAAGGAAAAAATCATTCAATTTCTGTGATTGCTTCAATGGAGTGAAGTCAGTGGAGCTCATGTGATCCATCTCTTGTGAAATGCTGTAGCTGAGTGAGATTTCTAAATGATGTCCACATACAGTGATACATTTAAAAAAAAAAAGCTTCGTAAACCTTGTTGTTGCTGTTCTGTTTGTGTGATAAAATCTGTGTGTACATAATCTTGTGTGTTGTGCACTTCTGCAGTTTACATACAAATGCTTTCCCTGCACAGTTATTTTTAGCAGCAAAACTGATCCCTTATTTTTTGGAGGGACCAGTGAAAATGTTGAGAGGGCAAGTAAAATATGAACTACTGGACCAGTTGGGTCAGCTGAAAAAATCCTTAATGGTCTTTTAGGCTCACCAAGTCTGTGTTTATTTGATAAGAAATACAGTAGTAAACAATAATATTGTGAAATATTATTAATTTAAAATAACTTCTGAATTTCTGTGATGGCAAACCTGAATTTTCAGCAGCCATTACACCAGTCTTAAGTGTCACATGATCTTTCAGAAATCATTCTTATATGCTGATTTGGTGCTCAAGAAACTTTTTTTGTTTTGTCAAATCTGAAAACAGTTGTGCTGCTTAATAATTTTTGGAAAACTGATGTATATTTTTCAGGATTTTTTTAATGACTAGACAGTTCAAAAGAACACTATTTATTTGAATTTTTTTGTAATTTTATAAATGTCTCCACTGTCACTTTTGATCAATTTAATGTGTCCTTAATGCTGAATAAAAGTTAATTTCTTTCAAAAACAAAACAAAACAAAACCTGGAAACCGTACCAACCCCATGCAGTTTGACATAAATTCATAAACTAATTTTTGCTGGGAAACATGTGATACAAAACATTGGTGATTGGTTCGTAGTTTTCAGCACATTTATGTTGATGCTTTCAAAACTATCACAACAAGTCATTTTTACAATTCCAGCAAAACCTCATCTATGTTAGCCAGCTAGTAACAGATGGAGGACAAATATACAGCAGAATTTTCAACAATGTAAATTACATCTCAGAAAACCAAATATTTGAAGGCATAAAAATGAATGTACATGATCAATGAACACAACTTTCAGTAGCAATAACAGCGACAGTTTTTTCAACTAGCCTGAAACTTTCACTGGCTCCAGGCTAGTGAGCAATTCTTATGGTTGTGTCCTGCAGAAGTAGGAACTCTTTCTACTAACTAAAAGTACAGTATAGTACTGTTACCTAACAAGCAGGTGTCTGGAAGATTCAGCCAAAGAGACCAATATCCATGAGCGTGACTCACCAGGCTGCTATTTCCACAGTCAGGCTGTCTTTATAAGCATTCTAAACTTTGAACTGCAGTGTTTTACTTGTTTTATCCAGTATCTTTTAACTTGTTTCTCACCAAGAAGCAGAATGACATCAGCTATTAGAATGACTACAGGGGAGGGCAGTATCTAGGGGTGTGCCATATCATACCGTCTACGATAATACCGGTAGAAATTTTTACATGATAAAAAAGTGTCATATCGCTATATCAATGATATTACAATGATATTACGCGATGACGTATGGCGGATATACGTTCCCTAGAGCGCACAACAACAACACTACAAACCCAATAGGTGTGTTCAACTTGAAGCAGCGCTACGCAGACTGATTGGTGTATGACATCAAAGTATTGCGAGAGTGGCTCTAGAGCATATTCGAGCGCACACTCTTACCTTCAAAAATAGGCGAGTCTCATATCTTTGCCCTGGCGATTTCAACCGACTGCCCGAGGCCAGCATAAAATGATGGCCTGCGCGTCGTCACGAAAGCTTATCAATTGCACCAGTGTTCGAACAATACCGTGGACTTTGGGGGAGCCCTAGTTTTTTCACTCGTGCGCTTGCGCGTGCCTCAAAAGAGGGCTTACAATGACTTAACGTGTTTTAAGCCTTGACAATTTAAACATTCAAAACAGTTTAAAGCATTCAAACACAAGATGCGGAAAAACTCAACTGAGAGTTCGCGTGCTGAGTTCGGTGCGCACACGGAGAGCCGCGCAAACACCAAACCGAGCTCTTCTTCGCTTCCTCCCGTGCCTGAATGAACAATAACACCTCGCCAGTTTAAACATACAAGCACAAAAAGACATGAAAAGCTTAATTCAGCACCCGCGCGCTGTTCTGTGCGTACAGTGTGCATGCAGAGAGCCGCGTCTACAGCCCTTAAACACGAATTGAGTTTTGTCTCCTCTTGCTCTTGAAACGACAAATACATATGAAATTGTCACAATACCTGTCTTTGCGAGTATCCTCGAAAAAATGGTCGGTTATGTCTTACGTGAAAGTAAACAGTTGAGAAAGAAATGGAATGTGTATCATTATATTAGGGGTGAGTATCTTCAGTATCTTTCATATACTGAGTATATTTAGTATCGGTATCGCTCCGATACTGGCATTTTCTGCTGGTTCGGGGTATCGGTCAGACGAGACCGATCCAAATCCGATATAGTGCGTATACTATTCTGTGTTATTATTAAGCCCCACAAAAGCCACAAAAACATTATAAAGCACCATAAAGTTTTCGTGCACTATATTTCAAGTGTTCTGAAGCTTTTCCATAGTTTAATGTGAGGTACAGACGAGAAAAACTGGAAAAAAAAAAAACTGTGCTGGTATCGGATCGATATCGGTATTGACAGATACTCAAATTTGTTGGTATCGGTATCGGTTCTGAAAAAGTGGTATCGAGCCATCCCTATATTATATTGGATGTATTATTTCTTAAAGTGGAGTGTGACAAACATGCAAAAAAATAAGAAATCAGGAAGGGGGCCAACACTTTTTCACACCACTGTAAATGCTGCTGCCTGCCGGCTGCAATCACCAATAAAACGTTGTTCCATGTTTTCTTTTCTATATCATCATAAATATTGTTATCGCAAATATTCTTGAAATATCGTGATATAATTTTGAGGCTATATCGCCCCCCA